AGGCGCGGGCCCTGCGCCTCCGCTCAGCGGCGGGGACTCCTGTCTGCCTCCCCCAGCCCCGAGGGCGGCGGCCCCACGTGTCCCGCGGAGCTCGGGGCCGGGGCCGTCCCCACGCGCCCTGTGCCCGGTGCGCTGTAAACCCGTCTGCCCCCGTGTGCCCAGTGGGACCCCGCCTGTGGCACAGAGAGGCCGGGGCGGCGGCCGCCAGCCGGAGGTCAGGGCCCCGGCCCAGCCGTGCCGCATCCCGGAGGCATGGTGTGCCCAGGCGGGAGGGCTGCGTGCCCCAGAAACGCGTGACGGGGGCAGTCTGAGAAGAGAAGCGAGCAGGCGCTGTTTGGAGGGTAGGACAGCAAGTCCCGTGCCTGTGCCGCTGCGCGGGGCCGTGTGTAGGGTGCCGGCGGGAGGCAGGAGAGGGCAGGGCTCGGGGGTCCCACCAGCCCGGCCCCTCCCCACGCCCGCACAGCGAGGTCGGAGGCTTCCGCTGCTGGCCTCGAGGCCAAAGCCCCCAGGGCCACACCACCCACCTAGTACGCCCTGGGGCGGTGCTCTCTCCGCAGTCGCGGCCCTCTGCGTGCGGCACCTCTTGGCCTTGCTCCCACCCAAGTTCCACTGTTTGCCCCAAACCAGGCCTCCAGGGCCTCCCTCCCCTGCCCGCCCCCCTCAGGTGGCACATTCAGGCCCTGGTGCACCCGAGGGTCCACAACCCTGGAAAAGCCTGGCCTCCCCCTCTGGCCCAGCCTGCCCGAGTCTGGGGCTGCGGGTGTCCCCGCTGCCAGGCATAGAAGGCAGCAGGCGGCCGAGGCTTCTGAGCTCCCTCTGCCCCACTCAGGAGCCAGCCCACCTTGCAGGAGGACTCCCAGGAGAGTGACGGTGGCCAGGAGAGCCACCTCGTCCTTCATGGTGGTGGGCAGCAGGACGCCTCAGTGCTTATCAGCCCGTCTGTTGCTCAGCGCCAGCCCGGGAGAGGAACAGCGGCCTCGGTGCCCTCCCCACCCCTTCCCAGTGGAGGGGGCGGTGACCATACCCACAGAGGCAGGGAGCCTGGCCAGGCCAGCAGGCGGAAACTGGGGCTAGGGACAGCTTGGCCACTTCCACCCAGTCCTTCCTGCCCCTTCCCTACCTAGTCCTGTGCCAGCGCAGCCCAAGCTGTGCACCCAGCTGCTCCAGCCTTGGGGTTGTCAGGCTCCTGTGCTCCCGACGCGGAGTCTTCCGGGCCCTGCATCCTGAGCAGGGCCCAGCTGGCCCTTCAGACCTTCCTCCCTCCATCCTGGTCCAGTCACAGGCCTGGGTGCCCATCTTGTCTTTCCTGCCCCAGCCATGGCTGTTCTGCTCAAACCACACCCTGCCTGGCTCCCTTTAGCCTCTGGGGAGGCCAGGAGGCCCCAGCTGCTGTGGGCGGAGCTGCCTACTTGGGCCTTGCAGGCAAGGGGCGAGCTGCCTCTGCAGTGCAGGGAGATCCTGTCCCAAAGCCTGGCTGGTTGGTGGTCAGCCCACTGGATGGCTTCTGTGAGGCCATCACTGCTTCCCCACCATGCCACTTGTGTTTTGTTTTACTTTGTTTTGTCTGAGACAAGGTCTCGCTATGTAGTTCAGATTGTTCTTGAATTCACTAGGTAGCCCAGGTTGGCCTTGAACTTGGGGCAATCCTCCTGCCTCAGCCTCCTGAATGCTGGGATTGCAGGTGTGCACCACCACGCTCGGCTACCATGCTGCTTGGTTCAGAAAAAGAATCATGCCTTCCCTGAGGCCAGCCATGGCCACACACAGGTCCTGCAGCCCAGGCAGACCTGACTCCTACTCCTCCCCGCCTGTGGGGGGTATGTGAACCCAGCAACCCCAGATGGCGAGGTGCAGCAATAGGGGAAGGATGCGGAGAGTGGGGAGACTGCTTGGGCTCAGAGGCTGAGAACACGGGGCTCCTTGCCTGGCCTCCCCGGGGCCACTCAGCCTTTCCAGTGTGTTGACCGGGTTGCTTCTCCTTTCGGCTGAGGCTGGTTTGAGGTGGGTTTGGTTAGCAGTGGCTGAGTCCAGGCTTGGGCAGAGCCGTGAGCGTGCGTGGCCCTGCTGTGGCTGGGGAGAGGACAGCAGCTGCCGCTTCCCACTGGCCCCCCATGCCCACACATCTGCCCAGTCTTAGAGGGGAGCCTCAGCCTGTCCGGTCCCGTGACCTTGGAGGGCCACCACTGTCACCCAGCTGGCCTCTCCCTGCTGCCCGGGTCCCAGCTGAGGGCCCTGTGCCTGCTGGGGTCCCCGCTTATCCTCATCGCCTTGCTCCTCGCGTTTGTCACCTGGCCTGCAGCCACGGCCTTTAGCTCCTCGTCCCTCACCAGGCCCCACGCTCCCTGAGGCGTGAGGCCAGGCGTGAGACCCCGCAGTGCTCAGGAGGGGGAATGACCATGCGAGAAGCTGGGAGACGGTGCCCTGGGCCTTCTCTCACTCCTTCCCGGAGCCCTGGGTAAGTGTGTCTGTGTCCCTGTCCCCGGCCTCCAGTCTCAGCTGTGTCCCAGCTCACTCGTGGGCCTGGGCATGTCCGGCTGACTGCACAAGTTCAGCCTTCCTCTCTGCCACACTCGCATTTCCTCCGAGGCCGGCATGGCCTCGCATCCAAGCTCACCCTTTTGCCGAGGCAGCAGGAAACAGGTCTGACCTCAGCGGCTTCCAGGAAGTCTCTGGGCAGATGGCCAGGTCCCTTGGACCTCGCCTCATGCACTCTGAGCTTGCCCGCCTCTTGGTCCTGCCCGACGTGGGCACTCAGGCTGACAGGCGAGGCCCCAGGCCGCCAGCACTGGCCATCCACCCTCCATACTCCTGTCCAGGAACAGAGGCACCGACCTCACAGAAGTGCGTCCCTGCAGGACGTGTCCTCGGTGCCCTCAGCCCCTGCATGGCCCAGAGAAGCTTCTGGATCCCAAGCTGATCATTAGGACATCCGCAGAAGCATCAGCCACAGGACACCCCTTCGGCCCTTAGCTTTCAAATATAAATACACAGTGATGCTCAGGAAAAATCTGCTGTGTTCATAACTTTGCTAAATAGTTGAACTGGAAATCAGACTTGAGAAAACCTGGGCTGAGAGCAAGTCTTATATCACATCTGGCTGCAGACACAGGGTAGGACATGAGGGTGGCTCTTGCGCCTCTGCCTGGCCAGACTGCATGTGGCACTGTGCCGGGCCCGTGTGTTCAGACAGTTGCACTGCGCTGCTTTTTCTGAACTTTATTGGCATAAAATCTCCTAACTGTGGCTCCAAAAAAAGTTAGTGGTGCCAGCAGTACAGCTAAAAGGAAAACTGAGAACCACTATAGAGTCAAAGAAAGAAATCAATGCAGTTTATTAAAGTCCTGGGGAGATAAATTTATAAGTATAATTTTTGGGTCTCCGAACCAACTATGTGGCTGGGCGGGGTGGCACAACCCTGTAATCCCAGCACTTGGCAGGCTGAGGCAGGAGGATCATTGTGAGTTGGAGACTACCTGGGCTACAAAGTGAGCTCAAGGCCAGCCTGAACTGCATAGTGAGACCCTGTCTCAAAAACAAACAAAAAATAATCGCGTGGCTTTCTTTTGTTTCTTATTGGAAAAATATGTTCAGTTCTTGAACTTTCGGCATTCAAACATGAATTTTTTTTTTTTTGTACCAGGAATCAATTTGTGCTTGCCAGGCAGGTGCTTATGCTGCTGAGCTATATCCCTGGCCCTCAAACATGAATTTGGAATGATGACAACCTAGAGCTGGGCGTGGTGGCGCATGCCTGTAATTCCAGCACTCAAGAGGCTGAAGCAGGAGGATTCTTGCAAGTTCAAGACCAGCCTGGGCTACAAAGTGAGTTCAAGGCCAGCCAGAACTACACAGTGAAACCCTGTCTCAAAAAGACAAAAAAATTACAAAATAATGTAGTCCCCATATACTCTTCACTCAGCTTCCTCTTTTAAAATAACATAATATAATCATAACACAACTATGTAACTCAAGAGATTAACATTGATCTAATACTGCCTCATGCTATTTTTCTTTCTTTCTTTTTTTTGGTCTTTTTGAGACAGGGTCTCTCTATGCAGTTCAGGCCTGCCTTGCACTCACTTTGTAGCCCAGGCTGGTCTCAAACTCACAGTGATCCTCCTGCCTCAACCTCCTGAGTGCAGGGATTACAGGCGTGCACCACCACGCCCGGCTTCTCATGCTATTTTTCACATTTTTTTTCTTTTTTTTTTTTGACACAGGGTCTCACTGTGCAGGCCAGGCTATCCTCAAACTCCAGGTGATCCTCCTGCCTCAGCCTCCCAAGTGGTGGGGTGTCAGACATGCAGCACCACACCCGGCTCAGAATCAGATTTTCTTGGCATTAGCACCACACACACAGGGACTGGGGCTGGGGTAGATGAGCTGAAATGCCTTCACAACAGAGGCCTCTGCCAACCCCACAGGCAGGAGGGGGCCTTGGGGTGCAGGCGCCTGGGAGGTCCCTTTTTACTTGGGGCCAAGCACAGAGGCCCTCTACCTTGTCTCGCCATGTAGCCCAGGCTGGCCTTGTACTCCAAGTGATTCTCCTGCATCAGCCTCCCAAGTGCTGGGATTATAAGCATGTGGCACCATGCCCAGCTTTCTTTCCTTCCCTTCTTCCTTCTTCCCTCTCCCCCTTCCTTCCTTTTCTTTCTCTCTCTCCCCTCTATCCCTACCCGCCCCCACCATTGAACCCTGGGATCTCTGAGCTGCATCCCCAGTCCTTTTTGAGACAGGGTCTCTTAGTTGCTCTGGCAGGCCTCTATGTTCTACTCCTCCTGCCTCAGCCTCCTGAGTAGCGTGTTTCTCCTAGTTCTGGCTGCAACCTGTGGTGAGGTCTTGCTCAGTGTGACCTACAGTGCTGAAAATCTTTAGTCACACCCTAGAGCCCTCCCTCCTCCTCCAAGCACCATCTGATGGTATTGTTGTTTTTTGAGACAGTCTTCTTAAGTATCCAGGCTGGCCTTGAACTCATGGTGACCCTCCTGCCTCAGCCTCTTACGCACCCCCCAGGCCAGCTTTTGGTATCTGGTGACTTGCTTGTTGCAGCATACACCATCTCATGTGCTCGGCCCCAGCGGCCCTTCTGGCCGCGTGCCGTGGCAGCAGGACTTCTGTGCTGGCGCCGCGGGCTCCAGCGTGGGCAGGGTCTGAGTTATCTTCCCAGTGTCCGTTCAGTGGTTCTAGGCACTGAGCAGAAGATGCAGCCCAGCTTCCTACAGTCAGCCAGAGAGCGGACTTTTTCCTCGAAGCGCGGGTATAGCTGGTCTGCATTAGGAGGGTGAAGACCAAAGGGGAGGGGCCTGCTTGGGCCACTTGTTTTAGCGGTGCTGGAGACTGAGCCCAGGGTTTTTTGCACATCCTGGGCAAATGCCCTACCACTGAGCCGTACCTTAGCCCTTCATTTTATCTTACTTGATTCACGCTTGGCACCAGAATTTTTGAGATACTTCCTGATAAACATACTAAGACTGTAGAAAATAAAAAGATAGCAGCAGGCATCTACATAAGAACAACTTGGGGGTGAGAAATAAGTTGTCTAGGAACAGTGTGCATGGAAGTTCCAATGTCTTAAAAGTTGAAATAATTCTTAAAATTCCCTTTCTAAAAGCATGCTGATTATAATCTTTTTTTCCTTTTCTGGAACCAGGAATTAAACCTAAAGCCTTGCACTAAGCTAAGCTATATCCCAGCCCTATAATTTCTTTTTTTTAAATGCTGGAGCCAGGCGCGGTGGCACACACCTGTAATCTCAGGACTTGGGAGGCTGTGGCAGAAGGATTGCTATAAATTCAAGGCCAGCCTGAACTACATAGTTCAGGACCATCCTGAACTACACAGTCAGACCCTGTCTCAAATAAAAATAAATAAAAAATTTGCTAAGGATGGCCCTAGACTTTGTGGGAATGTTCCACATGATCAGACCTGGCTGTATTTTAAATACTGGTTTTTGTGGTATTAGTAACTGAACTCAGGACCTTTGTTTTTTTGTTTTTTTTTCCGGTACTGGGAATCGAACTCGTGACCTTGCACTTGCCAGGCAGGCGCTGTGCCACTGAGATAAATCCCCAGCCCCGAACTCAGGACCTTTGAGTTCAATTGAACTGAGCTACATATCCCCAGCCTTTTTTTTTTTTTTTTTTTTTTTTTTTTTTTTTTTTTGCGGTACCAGGGATCAAACTCATGACCTTGCGCTTATGCCACTGAGCTATACCCCCAGCCCCACCCCAGCCATTTTTATTGGAATTAACCAGACAAATTGCTCCACCAACTGAGAATGGCCATGCACCACCACCCACAGAATCGAGAAAGAGCTATCCATCTGTCAATCCTGTCCGTGTCCGGCCAGGGTGAGTTTGCCCACGTTGAGTCAAGTTAAGCCGCAGGCTCCACTCCTGGTGGTGCCCTTCCATCAATTCCTTTAAGTTTCAGCTTTGCAACCATACTCCCTTCCGGAACCCAAAGACTGGTTTCCTGGAAGCTGCCCAGCGGGTCATGGGAGTAACTCCTCTGCATCGCCAGTGGGCATCGTTTATGGTCGGAACTATGACAGTATCTGATCATCTTTGAACCTTCGACTTTTGTTCCTGATTAAT